AGCAATGCATTGTTTTGCATAAGGGCCTTGAGTGCCTGGGGATTTTGTCTATTTATTTTTTTTTTTCATTTGTGAATTTATTTATTTTCAGTCCTGAGGTTATCACCCAGAACTTTGCCTATGTTACGCAAGCACTCTACTCCTGGGCTATAGCCCCAGCCTAGACAAGATTTTGGATTTTGGAATCCATAAGAGGATTCTGGAACCAGTCTTCCATAAGGAGATAACTGTAACCTGTGACTTTGCCACCACAGCCATTGACGTGTTGTATGAGGGTATGGGTATTGATTCTGTCTGGCTTTTGTCTCCACGGTCCTTGCTTTCTCTTCATGGAAGGAGTAGAGGATTCTTTTGCTCTCTCTCTACTCTACACACGCATTCTACTCTGGTTCTCCTTGTGAGTTAGATGTGGTCGTGGTGAGACCAGATCCTTCCTTTCCAAGGTGTAGTCTTGGTCTCAGGGCCTGAGATTGGACCTCACCTGCCCAGGAGGTGGTCCCCACATTTGCCTGGCTGTCTCCCTCTTGCACTCCTGTGGGCCAGCCACGTGCATGATAAATCAGACACCAACACTGTGGGCAGCATCAAACTGTATTACAACATGGAAAGAGGCTGGCCATTGCCTTGCCAAAGACATGCACTGCTCCCATTTTTATGTGACATTTTACAACACTGACCCATTAGAGACTTTGTACTCACTTTGAGTAAGGAAAATGTCTCAGAAATGTATTTTTGTGCAGAAAGAGATGTGAATCCATGTCCCTGCTTGGAGGTTCTTTCAGGTGTGGTGCTAAAGCAGACTGACCCACTTTTCTAGAAAAGGTAGTTTTAGAGGACCTTTTCAAGAAACCCGAGACAGTAAATGGGAAGAGCACTGCAGTGCATAGACATGATATAAGGACCGGGGGTGGGAAACCTTCTGATTAAATTGAACTGCCATGAAAAGGTCCCCTGCCCACATCCTCTGATTTAAGAGTGCATGTATTTTCAAGGTGAAGTAGACAGAAAATTCAGGATACCTGGACGGCGTTAACTTAGGAAAAGATTTAGTGTTTCTCTCATTAGGATTCCTTACATCACACTTTTAATTTTTCTTTTGTGTTTTTTGAATTGTGGTCTCACTATGTCACCCAGGCTGACTTTAAACTCATGGCCGTAACCTCCTGATTGCTGGGATTACAGAGCTGCGCCACCACACCCAAGTTATAAAGAGTTGCACTAGGGCGGAAATGTGCTTCTCTACATACTGTTTTCAGCTTTTATCAGACTAGACCTTTATTCATCCTGTTCTCTGCACTTTTTTACCTATTCTTTTATCCATCACTTCCCTGACTTGATTCCTCCCACTCTTTCTCTCTCTCATTCCAACAACCCAGGTTCCTATGTTTCTTCTACTTAAGAAAAATGTTTCACCCATCTCTGCTCTTAAATTCCATTCTCTGCCCTTTCAGCCTATGGTGCAATTCTGATAACACAGCTGGTGTTCAGGGGATATCTGCAGACCACAGCCCTGAATCCTGTTTTCCCCTCAGTAACAGACCCCTCCACAGCATATACCTGCTGCCCGGCCCAGGTTTCACCAGCCTTCTGGCCTGCAGCAGTCTCCTGTCCCCACCGGGATCAGTGATATTGTGCTTTCCGAAGTCCACAGCTAAGTAGGCCCCTCCTCAGGCCATAGCATCCCTTCCATTTCCCTCTGTCCTGCGTCTCCCATCTCTTCCCATGTTACTTCATTGTTTTGGGAATCAGAATGCCCTGCTTTATTGGTTTATTTAGTTTTTTAACCAGGACTGTCACTTCTCTCCCCGTTCTTTTGCCTTCCGAATGAAGGTCTTTTTCCAAGCTCTTCTAGGCTTCGTTCTCTTTGTGAACCCAGCTGTGCCTCTAGCTTTACAGAGAGCATCTATAAGGTCATCTCCAAATGCACACAGCCAAGTTCAGCCTCACATCAGAACTCTGATACTGTATTCCAGATTCCTCCCCAATGTCTCCATGTGGTTTCTAGTAAAATAAAAAAAAATTTTTAAAGATTTATTATGAATTTCCAAGCAGTTCATTATCTTACTCTCCAACCAAATTTATTTCCTTGATGTCACTGTTTCTACCCAACATCCCACCACGCTCTGGGTTAGTGCATTTCTAAGTGTTGGCATCCTCTCTGAGTCCTTGAATCCAGCCACATGAGCCTTCCTGTCTTTTTGTAAAGTTCTCTGACTAGCATGTAAGTCTCTAGAGGGCAAGGACTGGCTTGTCTCATCATAGGTGTCAGCCTGCGTCTACCTCAGGGCCTCAGAGATAACAAAAAGTCATTATGTAAGCAGCCTGATGCTTTGCTGCTCTTCCAGGCTCTGGGTTACTTGCAGGGTAATGGCCCTAGCTGTTTGATTCCTGCTATATCCTCCACACACCCAGCTCTGCCTCTTGTTCATGGTAGAAACCCAGTGTCTCCCATGTGGAATGAACTCCAGCAAAGCCTCAACAGTCTTTCCCTCATCTTGCAGTGAAGTTGGGCGTGTCAGAGCTGGCTGGTTCCATTGAGCCAGAATGACCTTTTTATCCTTCAGCAACTTTGGAAGCAGTGGGAAATCACTGAAAACTCCTCCAGCCTCTAAAGTGTCTCTCTGACCTTTGTGGGAGCTCCCGGAAGTGAGGAGTTTTTCTTTTTCTTTCTAAAATGTGTTTATTGAGATGGCTTCCCATTCATCTTGATTCAGGGTACTGTTAGTGCTGCTTCCTCCTGAAGGAATAGCCTTCTGTAAGCCTTGCCTTTCCTCCTGTAGGCTGGCAAGGACAGCGGAGCAGCCAACATACAGAACTATGTCTGTGCGTGGCTGAAGACCGTGGTGATTTTACAGCAACCTAGGCATTTCACATTCATGAAGTAGGAATTGGGGCTCCGCACCAGGAGTTTCTTCTTGTGTTTCCTCTTCTCCTCTTCCAGAGAGGAATTAAGGAGGTTTTTTATGAGAGGCATGTTCTCATAGGGTGGCCATCACCGCTGGAAAGGAAGTGAGGAGTCTTTTGTTACCCACAATGCCCCTCTGCCAAAAACCTGGGTTTGAGCAGCTGGCCGAATCTGACATTCTGCATCTAGTTCTCTTTTTTCTTCCACTATTTATCTTCACCGTACTCTCATCCTCCTTTTAAAACTTCAGGACTCTGGTTCTGTCCTGTGCCTTCCCCTCTGCTCTCACCCTCCTCTGTTCACTGGCAATGGTGGGACTTCTCTCCCACCCCAGGTAAGACGTCTTCCTGAGCTGTTTCTGCTGCCTGCCCATGGCAGGGTTCACTGGAGACTGTGCCAGGGGACAGTTTGTAGGGCTGTGTTAGCTGAGATGCAGAATCTCTTGGTGTTTCCTCTTTGCCTACCCTGGAACTCTGCCACTGTCCTCTTCGACTGTCTTTCTCCTATTGTCAAAAATTTTATATATGACTAAAGTTATTTAGATGAAGGGTGAGAGGTGGACAGAATAAAAACATTATTAGTCGCCCTGAGAATGTATAATAAAGGGAGTTTTATGAGGTATGACAGCTTTTGGTGGTTAATGAACCATTTGGCATTTTCTGAAACAGCGCTGGCACCAGGGCCCAACCCCGCCAGGGAGCAAGGGATCCATCTCTCTTTCCTTAGCTACGTTCCACTTTTGCTGTTTCTGCACCCATGGAAACGGTGGTATGAACATTTCCCGACAAATGACACATTTGAATCCTTTTGTAGTGGAGACTGAGTCTATTTTGCTTTTCCCCTGAGTGCTCTGTTTGGAGCTTTCTTGGACTGCAAGAAGCATCCATTTCCCCGAGAAGAGTAGAAAATGTCAAAGATGAGTCTGGTTGGAAGCCTGCTTTTCCAGTGCACTCAGAGGCAACAATGATACAGATCAACAATGCCTTGCAGTTTTCATCGGTGACCTTGATCTTCTTAGTGTGAGAAGACAAACAGAAGCCCAGCATAAACTTCTAACTAGTGAGCCTGGCCAAGCACGTATTCCTGTTGGGTGCCCTGAATCACACACTCAACACCACCGGCTGGTTTAGGGTCTCAGCTAGAACAACTTTGGACTTCAGTGACCCTGAGTGTGTCCAACCTGGGATCTCTCAACTTAAAGGTTGTTCCTTTTGGCCTCTCCTAAGTACACTCCACCTTCCCTTGGCCTGAGGGTTGATGGTCTTTGTGGCTCCATTTCAGGAGCACAGTGACTAGACTGTAATATGATCCTGGAGACCAGGTGTAAACAAGGGTTATTTAAGTAGCTTCACTAGGTATCACACTACCTGCTGGTATTATCTTCTCTCAAGCTGGTGTGAATCTCAAGGCAGCCATATAAGTAAATAATAGGATGGCTGAAGATAGCACTTAACCTCCATTGAACTCCTATTATGTGGCAGGTGCCAGGGGCAGCACTTGTCATCACTAGCCTTCCTGGTCTTCACAGTATTCCTAGATAGCAGATATTAGTCTTCCCATTTTGCAGATGAGGAAATTGAGTCTTCAAGAAATTAAGTAATTTGTCCAAGGTACACAGCTAGTGGGTGGCAGGACTAGGACTTGAACACAAGCCAGACTGACTCTAAAATGATGCTTTTCACACACCTATGAAGGCTGTAATGATTGTGCAAACACCAAACACTTGAGCAACTGGGTGTGAGTCTGGGTTACAGGGAGATTCTTAGATTTAGGCTTAAGAGGTTGTGTTATCCAGAGCTAGCTCTATTACCCTAGAGGATAATGCATACTAGGACCACTTTTCTTCCATTTTATCACCTTCCGTTGCAAAGGTGAGCATGGTAAAGACCATACCAATGATATTTCTTAAAAAATAAGGATCTTGCAGCCACTACTCACTGCCCTCCCTACCATTGATACCTATGAATACTGCTTGTTCCTGAGATGAGAAATGCTTTGCCTCATTTAATGCCCCCCCTACAGACTCTTTATTATTGGGGAACAGTATTCCACAAACAAAGGTATTTGTTCAAGTCAAATCTTGTTTTGTTTGCAGAGAATGTCAAAACAGTCCATTGGAAACTGGGAGCTGATAAAGAAGTGTGGGTGTGGGTGATGGGCGAACACCCCCTGGATAAACCCTACGACGTGCTCTGCAGTGAGATCATTGCTGAGAGGGAGCAGCTGAGAGCAGAGAAGGAAGCAGAGGAGCTCAGGTGGGAGACTGCAAATCAGTGAGAAACTGGCCGGATTTTAACAGACACTGCAAGGATGCCTCTGGCCCACAGTATCTGGAGGAAGAGCAGGGTGGGATTGGAGGGCTGTGAAGATGATTTTGGGTCTCTCTGCAAAGCGTGTTCATATTTTCAGTGAGTCCCTTTATTCCCACAATGCTCTTACATCTGCAGGCTCCCTTTGCCACTTGTCATCCCAGCGCTAGCTTCTCCACTGATCACCTCTGGCTTCATAGAACCATGGGCAAGCAGTGCAGGCTTCACAGTGGGTCATCAGAAACATCAGTAAGAGCTACAGTGATCATCCAAGCTCCAGGCCTCCAAAGAAGAAGATCTGTTAGATGTGGGCAGCTGAATACACAAGCTCTTTAGATGCTTCCTTGTGTCAAGGATTAGGAATTCAAAGAGCAACAGAGAGATTCTTTTCTAGGAGGAGAAACAGGAAGATACAGAGCCAGTTGCACTGATGCAGGCTGTGCTGAGCTGTGATTAAGGTATAGGTGGAGAAGTAACCTAGACTAGGAAGGGCGATAGCATTCTGATTCACATGAGAGGTGAGCGCTAAGCTAAGCCTTGAAGAATAAGCTGAATTTCTAGCTACAGAGGGCAGTATGGCACATACTGGCACATATGGCACATATGGTCAATATGGCACAGTTAAGACCTGAATTTGACTTTAAACAACTTTTGGCGGAATGGTGGATTCTTTGGGGGTGTTTAGAGGATATGTGGGCAAGTGGTAGGAGATCAAGGGCCATACTGTGAGACACTTCAGTTGCCAGGATGTAAGGATCAAGACCTTTTTCTGTGGGCAGTGAGGTTTTGAGAGGGACATATTGTAATCAACTGTACATACAGGAAGGTGACCTGGAGAGCACATGGAGGCGGGTGGTGATCCTCTGTGCTACCAGGGTGGCCTCTGCAAAGTTGTGTTCCCTTGGGGCCTCCTCTATCTAGGACAGTGGTACGGACAGCCTAATCTGAGCTGGTGAGATGGAAATTGGAACTGAGATGAGGGCCTTGTTCCAGTCTCCAGGAGCTGGTGGTGCTGCCCCCAACTCCCGTGTTGTTAGAAATGTTGTTAGAAATACACATTTGGAGGTAGTGGGGGGATTTGCTGCTGATCTTAGGAAGGTGATGTATTATAGAGTCTAGCTTCTCACCCAGGAGTTGGGTGGACCTCAGTTCAAATCCTGGCTGTGCCCATGGAAGATACTAGATAACTTACAAGATTATTTTTTTGAGCATTTTTACAAAGCAAATATAGCAAAGCCTTCTTGCTAGGTTATTGTAAAGATTTAGTTTATGTCTTTATAGAACCTAGCAAAAAGCCTGGCAGGTTATTAACACTGTTACCCACAGTCACTGACTTTCGTGAAGTTTAAAAATATACATTTGGTGTGGAAAAGCTGTCCATGCTGAAGAATGTTTTTGCTGATTTCACTCTGATTTCTCCTCAGAAAAACTCAGTCTGATGAATTCACCAACAGCATGAAAACAAAATCACAGTACTACAACCAGCCAGCACCAAATCACATATGTGAGACAGCAGCAGAAAAGGAAGAAGTGAAGCCAACATCTACACCAGAACCAACCCTCACAGGAGAGAACACTAAAGTGAGTCTTGCACACCTGCAAATGTGCAGAATTTCACAACAAGGGGAGAGGATGACATTGGAGCCGTTAGACAAATGTGAGCATGATCAGGATCATCAGCTGGATTTCCTGGGGAAATATCTCCTGCTTTTAAAGTCCTGCTATTTGTTTCATTTTGAGGGAATTGGCTCATCTGTGTCATGCAAAAGATAAAGCACCCCTCTTTAATGGAACTGAGGGTACTAGGAGTTCTAGGAATACAATTGAGTATTTAAACAGAGTCTCTGATTTTTTTCTCATTAACTGTCTTCTATAGCAGAGGTCAACAGATTTTTTTTTTTCTGTAGAAGGCCACATAGTATTGGGGACATGAATGAACCTGGCTGTGTTGTAGTAAACTTTTACTTCACAAGCCAATCACTGGACTGAATTTGACGTATTTGTGATATGCATTCTGTTTTATTGAGCTCTCCTGCCCCGCCCTTTTTTCAAAGAATCAAACCATCAGTGTCTTTTTGGCTTCATGGATTCTGCCTGTAATCGTGGGGGACAGTTATTTTTCCAACACAATAGAATTCCATACTTATAACTATTAAAAATTCTCTTACAGCCCAGGTGACTTAACAAAGCTCAAACGTAATTTGCTGCTAGGATTATAGTTTGAAAGAACAACAGAATTCTATTATAAAGTGTCTTTTCTGTCGGGAATTTAATTACACTGTGAATTAATGGGGGATTTGCAGTTGTTTGACTTCAGCCTTACCACGGTGATTGCATGTGCTCTTGATGTCTTTGATGCTGTCAACTGGGATACAGTTATCTGTCCTGACTACTTTTTGGGGGCTGGTAATATTCTTACAACTAGTATTACTCCAGAGTTATTATATGGCAAGGCAGACACAGACTGGTAAGTGTCTCATTTGATGCTTATGACATTATAAATTAGAGTCTGTTTGTATTTCTTCTTTCTATAGACGAGGAAACGAAACTGAAGCTAGGTTTGGTTAACCTGCCCAAGGTCTTATTCACACTCAGGTCGACATGACACCTAGGTCATTCCTTAACATTAACTTTTGTTCTGATTACCTTATTAATAAGAGAAATGCAAAGAAATTTCATGAAGTGCTATAAATATAAGGTTCAAAATATGTAGTACAAAATTCTAAAATTTGTTTTACGTCCCAGAGTCAGCCCTGAGGACTTCCTTCATATGCTAGTAAGGCACCCAAACTTTCCCAGATTGAGGGTATGTTCAACATGTTTAATATCGATCTCCAGCAGCTCCCTTTCCAACAGCCTAAAAAGAAAAGCAACAGCAACAACAAAAATCCCCCTTCATGAGCATTAGAAATGTATACTCACCTTTGCACTTGAATTACAATATTTTTTAGTAATTTTTTTCAAAAGTAAGACCAATGATTAAAATTGAAACTAGATACTATGGATGTCATTCAAACATAATGCAAATATTACAGGGAGAGTGGCATTACTCTATTCCTTGCTGGTCTATCTAAACCCAAATAGAAAGAGTTAAGGGGGGGGGGTAGACTGAAACCTGTAGGGACAATGAATATGGAAATAAATAGGTGAAGCATTTTTACATTTCTGCTTTCCATTTTTCCCTGTGTCGGAGATCTGTCGTGTCACCCATAATGTTCTCTCTGACAGCAGGATGCTGAGGGAGGCTGGTGATCATGCCAGCTATGCAGAAATTTAGATGTCAGGTCATTTTCTCTTACATGTGCCATCACTAAATGGTGGATTTACCATGTTTATTGTGAGCCCCATGTTACTGTTGTAGGTTGGATATGGTCCCTGAAAATTCATGTCTGCCCACAGCCTCAGAATGTGAGCTTATTTGGAAACAGGGTTTTGCAGATGTAATTAAGGATCTCAAGGTGAGGTCATCCTGGGTTTAGAGTGGGCTCCAAGTCTGATGACAGTTGTCCCTAGAAGGCAAAGGCAGAGATAGATTTGAGAGACAGAAACACAGAAAGAGGTCAAGTGGAGACAGAGGGAGAACCATCCTGCTTGCAGTGGTTGTGTTGGATAGAAACCTACCTTGTATGTATTTGTAAAACACATAGAATTTAATTTAGAGTTTGCAAAGATTTTTCTCACACAGTTTATTTCATTACATCTACAATATTCTTATGAAGTAAATAAGGCAAGTGTTAGCATTTCTTTTGTACAGGTGAAGAAACAGATATTCAAAGAGACTGCATGTTTTTCCCCCCGAAATGCAGATAGGAAAGTCCTTGTTTGTGCTCATCTACTTTGGTTTGCAGTCTTACCATAACTTTGAGGTACTTAAATCAAAGCTCATTTCCTTTACTTAGATCTCTTTCAGATGTAAACTCTGGTGGGAAATCAAAACTAGAGTGCTAGAAGTCACCTGAGATGTTTCCAAAATGCAACTTGAATTCTCAGCACATCTCTCCAAGTTTCAGCTATCATTTAATTATGATGTCTAAAGCATAGCATCTTTAAAATTCCATTGTCATACAAAGCCTAAGATGCACTATAAAAAGAAAATCTCCCAATAGACTTTATTGAGCTTACTGATCATAATGCTTATCTGCACAACCATGAAGGATTTTGAGAGCCACCAATTTTCTGGATTTATAAGCAATATTCAGAGAAAATCAGCAATGGATTTACTAAAGTAGCCTTGTTAGACTTGTAATAAATGTGTCCATGACATCTCAGCACCAGAAACTGTGTCCTATATTCTAATAGAGTACTCCAGTCCTGCCTGAATTTTCTACTGGTGTGATCCAGTCTTCCTGGAGCTATGGAGAGTGGATGAAAGTTAAATTCAACCCAAACACTGATGCACATTCACCATGGTAGAAGCTTTTATGGGAGAGTTGCTTACTTGTAGCATGCTGTGCATCTAATTCATCATGGCTTCTGCTATCTGTACCAAAGTGTAGGAGTAGACTGAATTGCTTTCTGCCTTAGCATTAAGCAGTGTTTTTCAGCTATGCGCTGATAACCTTATGAAAAGATTGAGGCAAATGTATAGACAGAGTCCATAAACTTTGGCCCATGAAGTTGGAGTCAGTCTCACAGTTTCCTCTTTATTGTCCTCCCTCTTTACCCGTTAATTTTTTGAATAAGATGAATTTGGATCAAAAGAATGCCAAGGCCAGCTTCAAGAAAGGAAACAACACATGAAAGGAGCATAGCCAAGCCAGGCAACAGTGGCATATACCTCTAATCAGAGCTATTTAGGAGACTGAGGAAAAAGGATTGCAAGTTCAAGGCCAACCTGGGAAACACAGTGAGGACCTGTTTCAGCATATCAATGAGTATCAATCTCTGTTTCAGCATATCGATGATTCAATCTCTAGTACCACAAAATGAAGAAGGAAGGAGAGAAGAAAGGGAGGGAGGGAGGGAGGAAGGAAGGAAGGAAGGAAGAAAAGAAAAGAAAAAAGAAAGAAAAGAAAAGAAAATTCAGAAGGAAAGCAGGCAAGCATGATAGAGAACATAGCCAGGAACCAGGCATATTAGTTGGGGAAAAGGCAGATTTTCCTTGATGCTGGTTATGGGGTGACAATGGCTGGGATGAGGGGCTTGGTGGTTTGCGTATCTGTGGTACTGTACAGTTCCCCAAAGACTCACATTCAGTGTGTCATTTCAGCCTCACAGCAACCATCGAAAGAACGAGGCAGAGATTTTTGTTCTCCAAGTAGAAGATTCAAGGACAATGGTCTGTGAAAGCCCAGATTAGAGATGGAGCTGGGGGCTGCTCACTTCAGATCCCTGTCCTTCTCTGTCCAGGGAAAGTGTTGCATCTGTAGCTGCGTGGTCACCCTGCTGCGGTCAGGATTCAGGACCTGTTGTGGACCTTTTATTCCCATGGTGGGCAGAATGCTGTAGTCCTAGCTTTCTTAGCTTTAGATTAAAAGGAGCTATCTCAACAAGAAATACTGGAGCAGAGCAAGAGGAGGCCCTGAGGCAGCAGTGAGGAACAGGCAGGATTAAATCTCACTGCCCGGGACCTGGAGCAGCCCGATTCACACAGACGGGACTTCTCTATGGCCACAGCTGTCACCCGCCAGTTCCCTCCTGTGTGGGTTTCTGATCTTCAAGAAGGCTGGCTGGGCAAGTTTGATAAATTTTTCCAGCACCTGTTTTTCATCTGTAAGAATGGGGACTTAAAAATACCTGCCATAAAAGGATTGCCAGTTTGAGTACCCCTGCATAATCTAGCAGCCTAGTGAGATCCTGTCTTGAAATAAAAAATATAAAAAGGGGCTGGACATGTAGCTCATTGCAAAGGCCCTGAGTTCAGTCACCAGTACCAAAAAAACAAAATGAAGACAAACAAAATAAAGCAAACAAACAAGCAAAAACCCTACCTCCCTTATTTATCTTATGGAATTTTGGGTAAAAACAAATCACCGGAGATAATCTACTTAGAAATGCTTTGAAAGTTGCAAATCTCAGTACAAATCAGAGGAGCTGGTTACTCTAACTAGAAATGCTGGAAGCCTGGCTTCCTGCATGCTAGTCTCTTCTCATGACACCCCACTGTCTGTCCTGCGGAACTGGGTTGAGAAAACCCATGACTCTCTGAGGAATACTCATGCCGGGTTTCATGTGTGTGATGTAGGATGCTATGGAACCACGAGGGAGACATAAGACAAGGCCTTCCTCCACTTTGAGAGTCTTAATCCCACTAGGGAGAAGAGAAGCAGTTAGAAGCACAGAATGAGACAAGATTTAATCAGGTTCCTGGTGGAGAGGGGCCCATTGGTTTGGAGAAGGCGGGGATGGAGAGGAGTGGAAATATGAGAAAAGGATACAGAAACAGGGGGAAAGAATCCTCAGTTCTGGGGTGCAGAACATCAGGGAGAAGAGCTGCAGAGCCTTCTGTATGTGGAGCTACATGGAAAATAACCCGGTTCCATCACATACTTTGGCTCCAACACTGAAAGAGAGTGGATGGTGAGAGGCTACGTTCTGGAAGTGGAAACAGGCTTGTCTCATGTGTTAGTTTTGGGTTTCTG